ACACACGACGCCACCAGGTTGGCGCGGCAGTGTCAGCAAATAACTTTAAATGAACCCTTCCACACGTGGTGGCTGTGGCTCCTCTGGAAGTGTTGCCACACAGCCGGTGGCGGAAGGACGCTATTTTTCGAGCCACCACCTCAGTCCGTTGTATTATATGAAGGTCTTCACACGAGACGCGACTGAGTGCGGCAAGACGTTTCTGATTTGTGTTCTGTGAAGTGTGTTGTGCCTTCACACTCAGCGCTAAAATGAGAGCCGAAGCGGAGCTATCGACACGAAAGGTTCATAGTTGAAGTTCATTCAAGAATTGCGCTTTGGGACATGACCTCTGAGACATATTCAAACAGAGATTTGAAGAAGAAGAAGAAGAAGAAGAGTTGGAATTTGTGGACATTTTTATGAACCAAGAAGGAGCCACTGATGCCGAGAAAAATGAATATGGTAGGTTTGCATTTTTAATAATATCTTTACTATTTATATTATCTATGGGTCAAATACGAGTCTGTGTACGAAGTGTGTAAGTGAAAAGAGATAAAGTGACTCGTTAGAAAAACTGTGTATATTATTTATTATAAAATTCTTAAAAATACAATTCAGTAAGTAAATGATAAAGAACGTGCATTAGAAGTAACAATTCTTCAAGAGGGCGTAGAGAAAATCAAATGGCACAATACTGCCATGGCAGTTCGCCTTCGTTGCTGTCATAAAGTTAGCAAACTTGTCACGAACTGATATTGCTGCACTTGTTCCTCTGCTTTCCGAATCAATATGGAGATGTCTAAACCCATTAAGAGTAAAAGTTTCTTCAAATCTGTAGCCGTCCCTACTCCTGGAATAATTGTGTAGGATGCAGCATGCCTTTATGATGTCTTCTGCTAAGGAAATATTCACATTCATAGGCCGATGGAATATTCTCCACTTGTTACTCATGATTCCAAATGCGCATCTATGTACCTACGAGCACGGGAGTGGCGATAGTTATATACTTTTCTTATTTCTGTCAAAGATTTCTTGCCAAAGGGGCGCATTACATGATCTGAAAGTCCAAAGGCTTCATCTGCCACTATCGCACACTGTCACATAAAATCTTCTCACCACGCGTCCGGGTCTTTATTTCAACTGCCTTCGGCGGCTGCTACAGTTTAACTGTCTTCGGCGGATGCTACATTTTAACTGACTCATTAGGCAGAGCAGTTCTCTTATAAACCCTCAACCAGACAACGGAAAGCGCCTGGCTTCCCTGTTGCCATGTCGCCTGTTTACAGGTGTTGCTGGGCAACGCTGTCTAGAATTTTTTCCTGCCGTGCAGTCACCGCGGCAATGGTTGCCTGACACCCGCTCCTCTGCCACGTCACCACGGCGGGGGGGGGGCGGAGTGTTAACTGGCCTGCTACCGTAGTAGCGACAGCGCTCCGATGCCGCCACGTCACCGCTGGCGGGGAGGGGATGTTCTTCACAGCGCAATGCGTCATAGTATTATAAATTCAGATCTTGTTTCAACTTTAGCGGATAGAAGGTGTCGCCTGGCCAGCGCAACGAATCCCCATGGCCGTTAATTTCTGTTTTCTAGACCGGAGCCGCCATTTCCTTGAAATAGCTCCCCAATTATCACGAGGCTGAGTGGATCGCGTTCCAGACCCATTACTTCACAGAAAAAAACCTTGTAGCGCCGGGAATCGAACCCGGGCCTCTGGATCTGTAGCCAGGTACTGTGAAGACTAGATCACAGAGGCGCTAATTTCGCCGACAAACGGCGGTCGCTCGATCGGTATAGTTCGCTTGCGGACTAAAACCACGGAGTTTGTTTGTTTGATCCTGTTTCAACGAAACCACACTACGTCTCCATAAAGAAGACTGGTTAATAACTTTCAGAGGAACACACGCGAAATACGTAAGAGCCGTGATAGCGCAGTCGGTATAGCGACTGGCTAAGGCCTGAACGACCGAGGGGTCTGAGTTCGAGTCCCGATTAGGGCAAGAATTTTAACTTTTCCATGTCGTCCCGACCGACTCAGACCCATTCAGCATCCTGTCAAATGAGTACCGGGGTAACGCGGCCGGGGCGTGAAGCTGACCACTCACCTCCAACTACTGCCGAGGTCAAGAAAACGTGGCTCCATCCATCCACTCCCCCATACGCCTTCATGGTGTAGTGCTTCATTAGTTAAGCACAGGGACGTTACCTTTTTTCACATTTACGAGGAATACATAACTGCATCGTGTGGGGGAAAGTGAAGAGTTTTTGAACGTTAATACGGATGGTACGTGTAGTAACCACTGTTCCTTACGTAGTTAAGTATCTGAATGAATCCCTTGTACGTCAGTGCTTGCATAAATTAATATACTCCTTACTTTAGAGGAAATTTGTATTACAAAATGTGTTTTTCGTGACAGTATCTGACAAAGGATTTTAATCCATACTATCACATAAATTCACAGAAATTAACATACAGATTCAGACACACGTGTCTTCTTTGTGGAGGCTGCATTAGACTTGTACACTTTGAAAGTATTCGTAGTGGAAAACAGACGTGCAGCCCCTTGATGTGCACATCATATTCATGTGTGTCTGTTTGCTTTAAAATGTATAAATTTAGCCAATTAATATCATTTAAACTCTACCAAGTGACAAAGTTAAACAAGGAGCAATGACTGTGCTACCCGCGATGGTCTCTTTCCAGCTAATTTTATACCCCGAGTTGCTAACTAATTCCAGAAACATTTTAATTAGAAAGTTCCTTTTATAAACAGTGTACAGTTGGAAGGAGTTTGCACGCGGGTTTAAAATAAGGCTATTGTATTCTAAGGAGGAGCCGAAAAGCGTAGACGGTATAAGACTGTCTACTGGCTAAAAGACAGAGGGTCGGAGTTCGAGCACCGGCTGGTTCAAGAACTTTCTCCACATCGTCCAGATCGTTCTGGTATCTTTCTATCGTATGGGTACGAGTGGCTCCATCCCAGGGGGTAAAGCGGCAGGGGCGTGAATCTAACCACTCACCTCCAGCTAGTGCCGAGGTCAGGAAGATGTTTATCTATACATCCACTCCCCGTACGTCTTCATGGCGTAGTGCTTAATTAGATAAGCACAGGGGCATTTTTACCTTTTACTTTTATGTGCATTCTAAAACCATACCAGTGTTTACGACAGTAGGTCCTAAGACGGGTGGGCAAAGCCGGCCTGATAATACTAACAGAAAGCTGAGGCCGCGCCATAGCTCAAGCGGTTAGTCGCTGGCTTCCCACCGCGGCGGCCCGAGTTCGATCCCGGGTCTGGTCAAGTGGGATTTATGGTGGTCAAAGTGGAGTTGGGGCAGGTTTTCTCCGAGTACTTCGGTTTCCCCTGCCAATCTTTATTCCACCAATTGCTCCACAATCACCCTCACCTATCATCTGGGGCTGGTACAATAGGCCGGAAGTGGCCGCAGTATAAGGCACTTAGTCCCACCCCACTAGCAATAAAAAGAAAACAAAGCTGAGGGAACGATTGTGTTTAGTGTGGGTTATATTCAAGGGCGCTCTCACTACCCAGACTGCAGAACGTGGCAAGGTAGGACAAGTGGTAAAGTGATGAGCTTGGACAGGATTTGGAAGGAAGTGGCCCTGACGTAATATCCTGGCACTTGCTTGTAGAGACCGGGCAAAAAACAAACGAAGTACTTAAGCAAGAATAACCTCTGTTTCGAGCCAGATTCGAACCGAGCACCTTCAGTGCAGAGGGTTACCGCAAAGCCAACCCACTCCATCCTGTATGGTAAAGTTACGGCTTGATTAAGTATTTCTGACAATAAACGAAAGTTACCCCCCGCCAACCCTGAACTGTAATTGGCTTCTACACTAACATAATTTAATTAATTGTAAGATTTATGTAACATTAAGGAGAAGCACAGTTTTGGACGATAATTTGATTTCAGTTTTAAGCTGCCTACTTCAAGATGGTTTCTCGTTTCGTTAATTCTTCGACCCTGAAGATGGAGGCAATGTATTCTTACGGAACGTCCGTTGAATTTAAACGGGCTGCGCAGTGTTATTCCCATAAGACAGAATTCTCATCGCTGTGTGAGGATCTCAAATCCTACACAGGGAAACCACGGGTTCAACATTTGCAGTTTTACACGGATAACTTGTTTTTCTCTCCCTTCCACACACACACACACACACACACAAGGCAATGGGTACCGTGTGATGGATGAACGTACCCTAAAGGTAGAATGTTGAACTTGAATGTTCTGAACTTTTCTGGCTTAAAACCCGTTAGAGATTTGACCTTTTCGAGGATGAAGAGCAGAGGAATACAAGAGAGGGGCGAAAGTACATGGTGGGGGTACAGAGGGACAGTTGTTTAAGGGATGGGGAAATGACAGAATATTTTAGATTTTGAAGGTTCGCAGGCAGTGCCCACGCTTCCTTCTTGAAAAGGTAAATTGGAAGTATGTAAAGCGATGGGAAGTTCTTTTTGGTTATGCGAAAAGGAAAGTAACTTAGAGTTCTGCAGGATTACGGCAGAAATGTGATATTAAGCCCGCAAGGGTTGTATTATGGTGGGACTTTGCTGTTAGCTTTTAAACGACTGTATATAAAGTATGTAGTGCAAGAAAGAAAGAAACAAGGGAAATTTTATGGGGGGGGGGAAACACAGAAAAATTATCCTTGCTTGAAGTGCATCTTATATTTTAAAATTCAGTTCATACCTTACTGTAAAGAGTCGGGATAGCTCAGTCGGTAAAGATTCGAGCTGGACGGCCGCAGTTAGATTCCCGCCAATGTCAAGACATTTTTCTGTACTCCACATTGGGGCCCATCCAACCTCCTGTACAGTGGGTAGCGGGGGCTCTTTCCCAGGGGATAAAGCGTCTGGCGCACGAAGTTGACCAGTCCAAGGTCAAGAAACTTTCATTCCACTCCCCCATACGTCTTCATGGCGTCATGCTTAATTAATTAAACACAGGGACATCTTTACCTGTTTGCTTCATAGCAAATATTGCGTCTCTATAGCAACGAGCAGTCATTTAATGCTCTTTATTTTGAGAATCATAAATACACAGATACACTATGTGGGCAAAAAGAAGCTTCGTTAATGTTAAAGAAGGTGGTATATATAATTACCACTGTTCTTTAAAGTGTTAATGATGTTTAGGATAAGAATCTTTGACTGTTCTGGTAACCAAACGCAGCGCAGAAATAAATTATGCGGGCGAAATGTCGCGGCATTTAATATCGAAGCAAGCTGGTATACATTGTTACCACTAACAGATTTGTCTCCTGTATGGACCATTTATCTCTCAGAATGGAGAATAAAAATGACGAGTGTAAAGGCCGCCGCACAGGGAAATACCGGCGATTAGCGTAATGTGGTGAATCCCCAGGGGGACGCAGCAGGTCACGTGACAGTACCAGCCTTGGATCGATTGCAGCAGTCACATTCAGTTCCTCCATTTGTTAATCGTGCCGTCAGTTCTCTGTTTCATTTTCCTGTTCCCACTGACACTGGTCTTCTCCTCCCTCAGCCATTAGGTCAATGTTTTCCATCACGAAGCGTCGTAGCTGCTTCTTTCGGGTAGGAAACAGGTGTATCTATTCACAGTCTCTCAGTGTACCAACTGTTGAGAGCGAGAGGCAAGTCTTTTCATTTGTTGCACAAACTTCCGTATTGTTAGCTTCCCCTTCATCCCGTATTCTTTCCTACATCTCAGAGAATGATACGTCGAGGCATGCGTTTAACGCAATCTCTGATGAATAACACCCACAAATATTCAATATTGTAACATGTATGCCCATTGCTAGGCAAAGGCTTGATAAACACATTCCCGCAACACATGTGCACGCAACAATAGAGCGCCCACTGCTAGGCAATGACCCGGTAAACACTTCTCGCCTAAGCGCGTGACAACAATAGGGAGTCCAGTGTTAAGCAGTAGCGCGGTAAACAGGCTTTGCCAACAATACAGGCTGCGTTTTCCGTTGGGTCCCTGCAAAGTGGTTATAAGAGAGGCGAATTCCGAAGCTGGCAGTTGAAGGAGTAGAGAACAGCAGTCGGAAGAGAACTGGCTCGAGTCTTCGGAGTAGGCAGCTGCAAGAAATGATAAAAAGATTTCAGGGTGACTTGAAGTGATAGTTCCCGTGATAAATCCGTTGCTAAGAAACGGATAGCTTTGCCTAGTGATTTGTGAGGTGGGTAGATTAGCGATAGCTCTAAAATTGTTGGTGATTAAGAGAGATTGTAAAAGAAGGCGTTAATAAATCCAATCATCCAATCCAGAACCCGGTATTGTTGGTCACGACCCTAAACACGTGACAATATTAAACAGCCTCACTTTTGTATTACACTGCACTTCATATGCCCACAGGATGCACTGAAACAGAAGACTGTTCGCTCGTTCGTGACCTACAGTATAACTTACGTTCATGAAGTTGCTACTGGAACCTGAAATTCTTTAATGATGTCTGTAAATATCACATATACATGATACAGCAATCACTGTGGGTTTAGGCTTCAGCTGACAAACGTCTTTGTAAGAACTGAGGTTCTGACAGCGATATGATGGCGTGTAGCCCTGTAGAGTTTAACAAACGTTTCGGGAAAACATAACGGACCAGTGTGACACTAGCAGCAATTACATAGCCTTGCAAGAAGCATCACCAATTTTCTTATTGCTGCTTGTTTGGCTTGCTCTTTGACCGTGTAGAAGAAGACCGTACGTTCCTCCGAAACGTATGTGACTTTAGGTTATACGATGTCAAATCTATGGTTTGATTCTGTTTGCATCTCCGTTGCTCTCCCTCGCCAGGGCATATTAGTATTGGGGGAGGGTTGGGGAGGTGACGCGTGTCCATGTGCTACTTACTATTGCCAATAGAACCTCACTGTCAATCATAGGATGTGCTATGTGCAGTGTGTCAGTAGAATTCGTACGAGAGGACACTTCTCAGTTCAACACGGCTTCTGGTATGGCTACATCTAATTACAGTCGGTTTATCGATTACTCGAAAACATTTCGATATTAAAGCAGAGGCAAACGATTTAGAACGACACACTGTAAAGCTGCTTACAAAAAAAAATGACCTCCACTCCATCTACTGTTAGCTCTGTTAGTGATATAGACCGTTAAGTCGTCATAATGTTGCTGGATTCGTATTCTCAGCATATATATATAGAGTGTCTATAAATGATTGATGCACTTTTAATTTGTTATACAGAGGTAACTATTACGGCCATACCGCTGTAACTAGTGTCATTTGAATGACAAACCCTGAAGATGCTCAATGTGAGCCACATTCGTGACCCGACAGATGTCCAGTCTGTAGTCCAGCTCTGTCTCATGTTCCTGTCAATTGTCTCGATGGCTGCAGTAATTCTCAACTTCAGTGCATCAATATCCAGTGGTAGGGGTGGCACAAACATTTGTTCCTTTACATAACCCCACAGAAAGTAGTCACAGGGACTGAGATCAGGAGAGCGAGGAGGCCACTTCTTCTGCAGCTCCAGTTCTCCCAGTCCAACGGTTTGGGAGCGTGGCATTGTAAGGTTTCATGCGCACCCGTCTGCGCAGAACTTGCCACACAGTCTACAGATTTCCTTATACTTCGATTGAAAGTGTCAGTCCCAAACCAGTTTTGAGTTGATCTGGTAATTATCCAGTGCTTTAATTGCAGCTTACTATGCTACAAGCCGGAAGGTCGCGCATTCGAGTCCCTATGAGGTGGATTTTTTCAATTGACCTAATCTTTCCAACCGAACTATGGCCCAGGCGTCGACTGTCTAGATAATGTGGGGACCTCAACGTATCACAACCCTATGGGCCTCCATGGCCTGTTACAGGGATAACTATAGCTTAATTGCAGCTTGGCTATCTCATAGAATACAGATGTTTATATTTCTATAGTTCCTATCTAGATTCTCGACTGCGCATGTCTTAATGGCATATACTTCTGCTTGGAATACTGTAATGTTGCTCCCACCTTGTGCCGTAATCCTACACCCTAACCCTAGTGCCCTTATTGGTCTTGGTGTTATCTGTGTACCTGGTAAGCCCTCCCTTCCTATCAGGTTGAAACCCGTCTTTCCAATCACTTGTCAGAGAATCTGAGTGAAAGATTTGTCACAGACATGTCTCAGTATCATAGTCAGTCCCTATCTGTATGATTTCAGAGTCAGAGTCACTTTACAACTGGAAGTTTACCGTCAATCAGTTCGTCTTGGCGACAAGCCCCTTGAGACTCACGTCCAGCACTTTTTTTTAAGTGAACACCTGATTTCATAGTCCTTATGTAACGTTCTCTCTGAGTAGAGGAAGGTTCTGTAGTTTACAATTGCTGCTGGCCCTCGGCAGCATAGTCATTCTCAGGTCCGAGTCCCACGGGACTCATGGCAATATTTTACTGACTGAGATTCTAGACTCCCCCAACTTGGAGGGCCAGGTACCCAAGGACAGGGTGGCCAGTTATAGTCCCACGCACCGGGTTCCTTTTCAGTCGCCTCCTGTGACTCGCAAGCCTACGGTGGGGGTATTTGAACCCGCATTCACGCGGGCCTCTGCACCGTAAGGAATCAGCTTGCCACGAAATCTTACACAGAGCTTCGGGGAATAAATACGAGTATAATTTGGTGAATAGTGATTCGGAATTAGGCCTGCAAGGATGCAGTTGTACTATCTGGGAATTTATCGGGAGGGCCAGGAAGAACAGGCAATACCTCAGTCAGGATAGCAGATATCCTGGCCGATATTCGAACCGAACAGCTCCAGAATGCAAATCTAGCGCGCTGTCACTAGAACACCCTGCTCGGTATATATGTCTTTCTCCCAGGGATCAAGAGGTGACAAGTGTTTAAATGGAAGTGCTGAACCTAAGAAGGATTACGTTAGTGAGCAACTAAGGCATTACGTAACAATGCACTGGGGGTGTAAAGATTAATTCGCTCCTCCACTTGTGACGCCCACATGAAAGAGAAACCTTCCCGAGAAAGAAGCAGTTGGCAAATAATCGAATTCCCCGCATTTTATGGAACCCGAAGGTTCATTGCTTCTCAGATTAAGTGAAGAGCGCAGATTTGGGTTCCTTGAGAACAAGCTGTTTCGGCCTAGGAAGGAAGACGTGATGGGACATCAGAAATATTCTTAGGGCGGTCAAACCAAGGAATGTGAAATGGGTGGGACATGTAGCACACATGGGAGAGAAATGAAAGGCATATGAAAGTCTGATCTGAAACCCTCAGGGAAAAGAACCACTAAAAAGACAAGGACATAGGTTGGAGGATATTATTCAAATGGATATTAAAGAAACAGAAGACTGACAACTGGACTTAAATGGTTCATAATAAGGGCCAATGTTGGACTTTTTTTTTTAAATGGACGGTTCATTTCCCATGTGTGCTACATGTCCCGTCCTTTTCACATTTTTTGGTTTGATCGCCCTAAGAGTATTTCTGATGTCCCATGACGTCTTCCTTCCTAGGCCGAAACAGCTTGTTCTCAAGGAACCCAACCAAATCTGCGTTCTTCACTTAATCTGAGAAGCAATGTTTCACATCCTTACGAAACAACATAAAGAGTATTGTACCAAGGAGGCTAGAGCACCGGCAACGCTCTGGCCTTGTATTCTCCGTCGGTTTTCTTCAGTCCCTCCAAGCACATTCTAGGATATCAGCGCGATTACGAGTACGCCACGACCGCTCCTTGCCAAATCCTTTACAATTCATCATTTCTCAATCATTTGTTGATACGTGTTCTCAAGTACAGGGCTGGCAGAGTTGCTGGTTGCAATTTACAATCTACTCTACAAGGGAGCAATAAGTAAATATGTTGTAAGAAATCACTTGTGCGGAGTGATCATCCAGTGATGATTCTCCTATGTAGTATACTCTGCATTATGTTGTTGAGTACGGCTACCCATCTTCAACACTGTGTTCTTTTAAGTCTGAGGGCCATTGTCGTTTTAATCTTCGTCTGATGTTTAATGGGTTGCTTAGTTCAGTTACGCAACTGTTTTCGTGTCCCATTAGTCGGTTGTGGTATATGATAGAATATCTTTTGATTTCTTCTGTGACGAATGGGATTTGAAGATCATTGTGTAATGTGAAGTTCGAGACATACCATGGGGCGTTGGTTATGGAGCGCAGTACATTTGATTGGAGTCTTTGGATTATTTTGGTGTTGGAAGGCTTAGCACACCCCTACAGTTGAACTCCGTACATCCAAATCGGTTTCAATATTCAACAAAATAATGACCCTAATAAACTAATCGAACTGCTCGCATTGGTTTTATTTGATAGTTGCTTTAAACGTGTTTCGGTCCACATTTGGGACCATCTTCAAGCAGATTCATCAAATACTTCTCTTGTTACTGAACTGTCCCAAAATGGATACGTATTAGTGGAGCCGTCATGAAGTTGCAAGAATTATTCTAATTTTGTTTTATTTTTTCAAAATTTCAATTTCAGTGTATTTAAAATTCTCTTGTGGAATGTAAAATTCTGTGTTGTTTTCGTGTTTTGGTCCCGCACCGTAGGCTGTCCTTCACACTGAGTTCTCTGTTATACTACATGCTACAGAAGCTATTCACGAAAATGCTGTTAGTTTTAGTGCTTTCTCACGAGTCCTCCTGGCTATGTTGCTGTGATTTTCTTTTCTTTTCTTCCTTACTGTGTACTGTGCATTCCTTCTGTGGGGGCGTTTATGTCGTATCTATTCCTGGTTACACAGCAGGATGCAAACAGTGAAAATACTGACAATCGTTAAGTACCTCTGCTGGAATAGAGCACTGTATGCTTTTCTTCTTCAAGTCATTGCCATAGAAGAAAAGTCAGTGAATATGTGAGGAGGCTTCAACCCCCCTGTAGGTCCCACGCAAGGCTGCATGCAGTGACCAGCCTCTGGATTGCTGCAGGGGGGGGGGGGCAGTCAAAGGGGACACTTGCTTGCTTGCTCCTTTATTGTATGCAGACCGCAATTCTCCGCCACGCAGAACTATTTTCCCATCAGTATGCTGCAACTTCAATTTACAAGGATAATTGAATTACGTCTGGTCCAAATGGAATTAACGGGAATATTTTTTTGTGTCCATTTTCCTATT